ACATCTGTGTGCGCAAAAGTAGCGGATCCCTCCCTCCCCGCCGTGCGGTCCCTGCAGAGACAGAGGGGAGCCCCGGGGCTTGCAGGGCCGGTCTGCAGCTGGCATTGGAGGGGACTGGCAGTGGCCCCAGGACAGTGACACACTGTGCCAGGCTCGGCGTGGGCACAGACAGCCCCTACCCCAAAGCACCTGGCCCCAATAGGCAGGAGTGGGCGGCAGGCCAGAGAAATCGTGGCCATGGCAGGTCCAGACAGTGAGGCCAGGTCGCTGAGCCTCCGTCCACTGGGCCCCACTGCCTCAATCCCCGCACAAAGCCCCAGTGGATGGTTTGCCCCGGAGAGGAGCCCTACGATCAGCACGAGGGCAGAAGGCCTAGCGTGAGCGGTGGGGGCTGTGGGCTGAGGCGAGGGGGAGGGTAGCAATGGTAGGAGGACTGCAGGTCAGGAGGGAAACGTGGGATGCAAGGGGGGCAGGACGGGAATAGCAGGGGGTGTGGGACTGAGGTCGCTCACTGTGCACTGTCCAGCCACAGCCGGAGGGAGCAGCCGGCCCCACAGATCCAGGGCCTGAGGCAGGAGGCCGCTTTCAAAGCAAGGTAACTTGGGCTGAAGACGCAGGGAGTCCTGAGCGAAGCTGGTTTCTACGGGGGCTCCCTGCCCCCCAGGCCTGGAGGCTGCCCCCAGCTCTGGCAAGGCCGGCCGGGAGGGCAGGGCCCCGGGGAGCAGCATCTGCAAGCAGGTCCCTGCCAGCTGGGAGTGGGGCTCCCGGCCGGGCAGGCAGGGCAGCATCCAAAGGACCAAATGAGGCTCCTGTCCAGGCTGCCCGGCCCTGCTCTCCCAGCAGCGAAGCAGTTAAACCAGAGCTGGGGAGACAGTCCGGCCAGCCCCTCACCTGCTGCGTCACCTTGGCCTGCCAGCGGGAGGCTGGCTGGCCTGCTTCCAGGGGCGGGTGATTGGTTGTGGGCCACAGGGAGGCGACTCCTTTGGGCTGTGCCGGAGCCTCTGTCCAGGCACACGGCGCCGCGCTGCAGGGATTGATGCAAGGCCAGGACAGAGCCCCCCCTGGGTGAGCCCACCGCCGCCTCCTCGGGGGGACGGCGCAGGTGAGGCAGGAGGGCTGTGGGGAAGGGCGGGCGCTCCTGGCAGAGTCTGGCAGCTCCCCAGAAGTGCAGGTCTAAGCTGCACAGGGACTTGGGAGAGCCCAGCCGCCCTGCGCGGGGGAGTCTGAGTCGGGGACTTTGCTCTCCGGCTAGCACAGCTGTTCCAGCCTGGCCACGGGAGACCGTTCTGTTCCCTGCTGTGCACCAGCCATGCCAGCTGCCGCTCCTTGCAAAGCGGCCCTGGCCTCTCCCTGCCTGTGGCTGCACAGCTTTCGTGGAGGATAGGCTGGGAGAGATGGAAAGAGTCTGGCCAACGGCTCCCTACCCCAGCTCCTTTCTGCACCCAACCTCCGTCCCACATCCCACACCCTCTCCACAGCAAAGTGCTGCCCTTGACCACTTCCCCAGTCTTGGAGTGCCCCACCCCCGCTGTGTGCCCACCGACAGCCTCTTCCAAGACGTGCACAGTAAAACCTGCCCCCAACATGTGACTGTTGGTATTGTAAGGCCAGCCACCCCCAAATGCACTGTGCTTCGCATCCTGCTGGGCAGCCAAACGCTGCGCGTGCTTGGTAAACAGCTAGTGCAGAAGCTACAAAACGGGCCAGCAACGGTGAACTCGGCGGAGCCTGTTTCCAAGGGCTGCATCGTGCTGGGCAGGGCTAGGCTCAAAAGGCCAGCCTACCATCATCGTAGGACCTGAGCCACGATGCACAGGAGCACTCACCCCACTGCACACATGGGGAAACAGGCATGGGGCAGATGAAGCTCTTTGACCAAGGTCATGCAGGAGGTCAGGGTTCAGCTGGGAATGGAACATGGGGGCCCTGCGGGCTAAGGCAAAACTACAGTCCGCTTGTCTGCCCGCCTGCTTGCTGGCGTCTCTGGTTCTGTTCAGCCCCGCCCTGTCCCTGACCGAGCAGAACCCACACAGCAGGGTGGAGGGCAAAGAGGGAGAGGAGGGTGTACAGCCCAGGGTCTTTACTCAGCTGTTGCACGTTAGGCAGGGAGGCCTTTGCACTGGAGCATTTTCTCACATGGATTATGCTGCTAGAATGGCTCTGGTTTAGGTCCTGATCCTAGAAAGGGTGCCTGAGGCTCTCAGCACCCTGCTGGCCTGTAGGAAAGGGGTCGTCTCGTCACACACACAATCCTAGAAGATGAGGGTTGGAAGAGACCTCAGATGGTCTAGTCCAGCCCCCCACTCAGAGAAGGTCCAGCATGTTCTAGAGAACTGGAGCATGTCTGCAGGGCGTTTACACGGGGCACTATCCCTGGGGACTTTCAAACTATCCTATGACTCCAGATGCTTCTTTGGAACAGGGGGCCTAGAAAGCCAGGCTGCGAAGTTCCTGTGAAGAGCAAGGACAGGTGGTGTCTGCCACACCGCCTGCACGAGGAGGGCACCCTAGGCAAACTGAGGGAGGGCCAGTGCTTCGGAGAATAGATGGTAGCTAGTTCCAGCCCCGCTGGGGGTGTTACTCTCGCAAGACCCACCATATGGAGCTGAAACAAAACACAGGACGGTGCAGCACTTTACAGACTGACAAGATGGTTTATTAGGTGATGAGATTTCATGGGCCAGACCCACTTCCTCAGATCAAATAGTGGAAGAAAATTGGCACAACCATAGATACCAAAGGGTACAATTAAAATAAGTGAACACACATGACAAGGACAAAATCACATTGCAGAACAGAAGGGGGATGAGGGGGGAGGTAAATGTCTGTGAGCTAATGATAGTAGAGGTGATAATTGGGGAAGCTGAGACACCAGCAGCTGAGCTGTTAGCTGGCGAATAGGAAGGTGGAAATGTTCAGGCTGGTGCTACCAACATGACAGCTCTCACCTGGGGCCCATTCCCTTTCAGGTCACCATGGGACGGGGGCCCCAGGCGGTTGCTGTGGGGTGTCTCCTAGCAGTTACTGTGGTTTGTGGCACCATTGCGCTCATCCTCTCAGTTGTGGGCGTGAAGGATGTTTATCTGCCTCCAAGCACTAAGGTAGGAGCCAGGAAGCCCCACCAAGAGTTTGGGTCTTTGCGGAAGGGATGGGCACGCCTGGGGTGTGTAAGGGAAGTGGGTGATGCTCTGCACAACCCCACCGGCTAGCAGCCCTAGAACTGCCCCTGTGCCTGGACTACCGGACACAGAACGTTCCCCTTGCTGAGCATGGGCAGAGGTTTCCCTGCGAGCTCATGCAGCGGGGCCTGTGATTTCAGAGCCGGCCTTTGTCTGGTCGCAGCTGCTGCTGGCTGCTCTCTGCCCCGGGCTCTGAACTTGCACTGCCTGCCTGCCCATGTGTGACCCTGCCTGGGGACAGGAGGGATCCCCCAGCCTGTGGGCAGCCACCAGGGCTCTCTGACCCGTCTCCTTGCGGCTCTCCCTCCAGTACGGGCTGGTGTTGGACGCCGGCTCCTCGCACACGACTCTCTACGTCTACCAGTGGCCGGCCGGCAAGGAGAACGGCACCGGCATCGGCGGGATCAGACGTTTCTCTCTCTCCCCGGGCCCCGTGCCGAGCAGGCTGCAGCTGTGCGGGGGAAAGGCCGTGTCCGCAGAGGGTTATTGCAGCACAAGCGGGGGCCAGGGGCAGCAGAGGGGTATTGACTGACCAGCAGAGAGCAGCATGGCTCATGCCCAGTTGAATCCTCTGCTTTAGCGCTCTGGGTGCTCAAACGAGGCTGCGAGGCCACAGGCAGCCAAGGGATCTGTTCAATCAGCTCAAACCAAAGGTCCTGAAGGGGGGAGCTTGGCTTGGCGGAGCTGTGGGGGCCCTGCAGCCTGGGGAAGGTAAATATTGTCATCCCCAGTCCAGCCCCAGCACGTGGGAGGGGCTGGCCTCATGAGAGCAGGTCCCAGAAATACAATCTACAAACAGAAGGAGGTTTTCCTAGCAGCAAGCCACCCATGCCCCACGCACACAACTGTGTACCTGGAGCATGTTCCATGTGCACGCCTGCTTCCCTCCTCCCTGCACAAACGGGTTCCTGCTCGGCTGCCAGTGGCACAGCGGTCAGCACTCCTAGCTTGGCCCCGCCACGGCGGGCAGCTCTGCCCGGGGCCCCGACTGGCTTTGCAACCTGCACCAGCGAGAACACGCCCAGAGCGGGGGTGGGGAGACACTCAGTCCGGGTGTCACCATGAGACAGTGTGTCTGCCGAGGCTCCCCGGAGCTGCATTCAGCTGTGACTGGATGAGAGGAGGCTGCTGCAGCTGTGCTGGACAGTCCAGTATTCCCAGGGTCTGATGGGCGCCCCGCTGAGGAGCCGCCATGCCCCAGCCCTGCTCCCTGGCCGGAGCACCAAGGGGTGTGTGGGGTTCCAGGCGGAAAGGACAGGGAGGGGCTCTGGCCCACAGCCCCACGATGTCGGTTGTGGGTCTCTGCCCCCCGCCCAGCTGAGCTCAGGTTCTCACGGGGATTGTTCCAGGCCCCGGGATCTCCAGTTACGCCGACGACCCTGCTGGGGCTGGGGCCAGCCTGAGGGCCTGTCTGGACACAGCCATGACGCTCATCCCCGCCAAGCAACAGCGAGAAACGCCCGCCTACCTTGGTGCCACCGCGGGCATGCGGCTGCTGAGGTACCCGCAGTGCCTGGCAGGGGCCGTGCCAGAGACGTGGGGCCGGGAAGGGGGAGGGGCGCTGGGTGGCAGGGGAGCAGGGGACGGATACCGTAGATGGGGAGGCCCGGCAGTGGCTGTAGGGAGGAGGTGGCCATTGATTAGCCACTCACCTCTGGCCATGTACAAGCCAACCCTGTGTGGTGAGCTGGTCCCTCCGTTCTCAGTGGAACACGATTTGTGGCTCTTCCGGACTCCCCCGCCCCCAGCTTCCCGGCGGTAGGGCTGCCAGGTGTCCGGTATTGACCCGGACAGTCCGGTGTTTTCCGCTCCTGTCTGGTAAAAAAATTCAGAACATACCGGACACCTGAAATGTCTGGGACTTTCAGACGTTCTCCCGGGTGCTTACCGGGTTCCGCGGGGAGCTGTCCGGCCCCGCGCAGGGAGGCGAGATGGTCAGCGGCCACTGGCTGCCTGTTAGGGCCAAAAAGCCTCAAAAGCATTTCTTAGAGGCCATGCTGGGTTTTCCCTTAACAACTCTCGGGGGCCTTTTTTTGGTATTTTTTCAGAAACCATCTGGCAGCCCTACCTGCAATAGACGTTAACGTGCGTGTCCCTTGAATGCACAAGGGGGCCTGTAGCAGTTTGAGACTCACCCCCACAGCGCCTCCTGCTGGCCAGTCTGGGAATTAGTTCTTCCGCCTCTCTCTTACCCACCCTTTTGTCAGTTCACCACCCCTCAGGCCCCATGTCCCTGTTCCTCATGGTACTGCCCGTGGCAGTGCCCCCACACTCCAGGGTTTCCCCTCCCAGGGAACCCCACTCCCCACCTTACCTCAGTGACTCATTGCCAATTGCCCCGCCTCAGGGTACTCATCCCTGGCAAAGGGTGCGGACTTGCTGCTTTCTCCTACCCTGGCTGCCTCCCTGAAGCCCTAATATCCCTCTAGCCAGAGCAAGGCCTCAGCCAGGGCTGCCTTGCTCCACTAGTGTCCCTGGTAGCCAGGCCCTTCCTGCTCCATAGCTGGAGCAAGAGTGTGGGCACCTCCGCACCAGGAGTCCTTTGGGGCTGCCGGGCACCCGGGGCGGGGCCGTGCACGCACCCCTGGGGACAGGGCTGCCCACGTGCCTGGGGCCGGGGCTGGCCCATGCGCTGCGCACCCGGGGCAGGGCCGGCCCTGATCACTCGGTGGGCGCCATGGTGCCCGCGGGCACCACGTTGGGGACCTAGTCAGGCCCTGACTGGCTACTCCAACCCCCTTCTGATTGGGGCCCAGCCCCAGCTTTGACCTAGGGTTGTTTTAACCCCTTATGGACCATAGTGCTGTATGCTAGCCTCCATTGCAGCCACCATGCGTGCCATGCTGTGTCCATCAGGGCCCTCTCTCCTCCCCATTCACAGGGAGCAGAACAGCACAAAGGCCGACCTGGTCTTTGCCGAGGTCTCCAGGACCATCCGGCAGTACCCGGTGGCTTTCCAGGGTGCTCAGATCCTCACTGGGAACGAGGAAGGGTCCTTTGGCTGGATCACGATCAACTACCTGCTGGAGACACTCGTCAAGGTCAGTGCCAGGGTGCGGGGTGGGGTGGAGTGGGCTTGGCTAGCTGAGCTGCTTCTTTTCTAGGGGAGACAGACCTGACAAGGAGCCAACATGGCAGCAGGCTGACATAGCCCAGCTGATTTCACAGACATGCCCCTTTCTCTGGGTTGTCCCATCATGCCTCCAGCTGGGAATTTCCATGCCACGTGGGAATCCAGGGATCTGGAAGCTGGCTGGGATGGTAGGACACTGGGTGGTGTCTGTCCACAACAGGGAAACCTTTAAATCGCTACAGCAGCTGTCAGCATTGCACCCAGGACGTGCTTGGACTCGGGAAGGCCTTGTCCTGTGCCAAGCCCTGGCATCTGCATGGGGTAGGAGCCTTCCCAGGTAATAGGAGGAAGGTAATGCCCCATGAATATAACCCAGTGGGCTATTAGCACTGCCCCTCCTTTGGCCCAGAAAGCCACAGTTCCCTCTTTTCTCACATCTCTTGATGCTTCTAACAAACTCATATTTGTTTTCTTTTGAAACTTACAACCCAGAGGTCTTTTCCTTTCGGGCAGTTTGGGGAAGATATTTCTACTCCTCTCGGTTGCTTTTGCTGCTGTTTTTGTAATGCCGAGAGAGGGACCCAAACCGGGGGCCTCTGGAGCTTGAGCTAAGAGCCACCTGGCTCCCAGCTAAGGCTGCAAACTCATTCTCTGGCTCAGCCTCTGGTCTCAGTGCCAAGCCCTGGGCAGCACCCACCCCAGCAGGTCCACTATCGTCACTGAAGAAACCACGTGAACTGGTAAAGCAGGCACTCGGTATGGCCAGTTTGCCAGCTGGTGTCAGTCGCTGCAGCTCTGGCTAGGAGCAAGGGAAGCTGCAGGTGAGGCTCTAGCCCTGAATACCTGGGCTTGGCACTGAGCGCAAGATGTGGACCCGCCACTCCGGGCTACACAGGGACGTGGAGACCCAGGAGGCCAGGGCACAGCTTACGCTGCCTGCCACAGCCTGCTGAAGTGATTGTAACGTGGATTTTCTTCAGCCTGAATGAATCCTTAGTGTGTGTGTGGGGGGGGGGCAGTTCTCCTTTGCAGGGAAATGGATACAGCCTCAGGCAGCTGAGGTTCTGGGAGCTCTGGATCTTGGAGGAGCCTCAACCCAAATCACATTCCAGCCCAGGGGGACCGTCGAGGACAACAGCACCCAAGTCCTTTTCCGGCTGTACGGGGCCAACTACTCGGTTTACACCCACAGCTACCTCTGCTACGGGCGAGACCAAGCCCTGAAGAGGCTGCTGGCAGTCCTGAGAGAGGTATAAATGACTATGACACAGGGCACTGCCTTTCCCCTCCACTTTGGGCAGGTCAGTCCCTGACAGTCCTGGTCAACAATTTTCAATCGAGACGTTTTCTGGGCTGGAAAATGTCTTTTTGATTATATGGAACAGGAGTGAAAAAATCTGGAAAATCCCCAGCCTCTTCTCTACGGGAGAGGGGTCCTTCCCAGTCAGACCGGGGGACACATTGCGAGCAGCAAGCAGCTGACGCGTGGCTGGGAGCAGAGAACAGCTCCGTGCCAGGAGTCTCCAAAGGAGGTGCACACTTGGCAGCTGTCAGACCTCCAGCTGCCCCGTGAAAAGCCCGTTCTCCTGCTCAGGCCTGCTGAGGGAGGCAAGGGGGCAATTGCACAAGGGCCTGACATTTCAGAGAGCTCCGGGCCCCTCTGCAACAGGATGGGAGCACTGCAGTGCCGCTTCGTGGGGCTCTTCCATTCCCCTGGGTTTTGGCATCAGCTTAGTGAGTGCCGGTTTGCTGAGGCTGCACCCCGCGCGCGGTCAGGGCATGCCAGGCACAGTCCTACCCCCGGATTCACAGGAGGTTAACAACCCTTTCTCGCCCTGCCCGGATACAATCCAACGCCAGCCAAACGGGATCATTTGGGGAGAGCAGCCCGTGAGGCTGTGCGCCAAGGGCGGGGGTGCCTGTACAAGCCCCGAGCTAAGCCCTGTGCAGACCCCATGCACACCAGCAAATGGGTACCTGGCCCTGGCCTGCCAGAGCAGAGTGTGTTGATCTGAGGCGACCGCCCCGCTGGGGGACTGGGACTCTGTCAGCAGCTTTCCTTTAGGCACAGAGCAGGAAAAGCAGATTTGATGTGTGGAACTCTGATCAAACAGTAGAGCGGGGGTGGGCAGTAATAGCCCACAGGCCAAATCCACCAAGGTGAGCTCTGGTGGGCCCCCACCACTCTACTTCCTGCGCCAGTCCTGGTCTGAGGCAGGGTTTCCCTACCAAAGCCAGAAGCAGTTTCCCTTCTTTCTCCTATGCCCTGGAAGCTGCCAGAGATCACCGAGGAGGGTGTGACTCCCAGTTATGTGATTTATTACCCTGTCGCCCTCCCCCTCCCCTGCTGGCTAGTCCTCTCCTTGGACTTAACACTGTGCTAACAATCTACAGCCGCCGCCAGTGGCACGAGGGGAAGGAGATCAGTGGGAAGGTCCCATGGGCCAGTCAGCTGCACAGCAGCGCTCTGCCTTGGAGCTCCTAGGATCCCCTCGCCTGCCGCAGCAGCTGCACTGCGGGGTTGGATGGCAGCTCCCTGGGCATCGCCTCTGTGCTCCTGAAGCCTCCCCTGGCCGCCTGGCCCTGCCCGGGTTCCAGAGGAGCAGTGCTCAGTGCCAGAGTGCCCGGGCTCAGCCAGGCCCTGTGCAGACATGACCAGCGGGTGGGGTCCAGTCCTAGGCTTGCCAACCCCCCTCCCACAAAGAGGCTGGTGCTTTGGTCCACTCTTGCCCTCCCTGAGGAGCTGGTATGCAAGGGGTGGAAACTCAGCACTGCCTGGGGGGGCCTGAGTTCACGCAGAGACGCGCAGGTCCTGAGAGCTCAGCCATGCTCTGGCCGTGCTGGGGATGTGCAAACCTGGAGGGAGTGGAGGGGAACCGCAGCTTGGCAAGGGGGAAGGTTGGGGCTGCAGAGCTCAGGGGGAGCATGCCACACTAGCAGAGTAGTAGGTGCCGAAGGGGCAGTGACCTCCTTACCATTTCTTGGCTGCCATCTCAGCCGGGCGCCAGCCAGCCCCAGAGTGCGGTTTGCACAGGCTCTGACCCGCCCTGTGGCTTTCTGTCCTGGGGCAGGGCCTGCAGTGCCCAGCATGGTGACAAGGCAAGAAAGCCCTGAGGGCAGTTCTTGCTGCTGTCCAGATCCTGCAGGAGGTTCCTAGGAGCTGAGCCAGCCCTCTCCCAGCCCTGGGGAAAGGGAGGGGAGGCTGCGGCTGTGGCTGCCAACCCAGCCTGAGCGCTGCTGATGGGCTCCCCTCTCCCTAGGAGAACCCCTCCCTGCAGCTCTCCCACCCGTGCTACCCCCGGGGCTACGAGGAGAACGTCACCGCCGCTGCCCTGTATGCCAGTCCCTGCGTCCCAGCACCAGCTGCCCAGGACTCCCAGCAGGTGCTCACGGTGCGGGGCACGGGGGCCCCGGCGGAGTGCAGACGGGCCGTCCGGAAACTCTTCAACTTCATCGCTGCGTCCCAGCCCCAGCTGCCCAGGACTCCCAGCAGGTGCTCACGGTGCGGGGCACGGGGGCCCCGGCGGAGTGCAGACGGGCCGTCCGGAAACTCTTCAACTTCACCGCCTGCGGGGCCAACAGGACGTGCGGGTTCAACGGGGTCTACCAGCCGCCGGCGCACGGGCAGTTCTTTGTAAGGAGCCGTCACCCCTCCCCTCCCGGATGTCCCCGTCCCCATCCCCACTCCTCCCCTTTCCTCATGCCCTGGGCCCTGTGACACAACCTGAGGGATTTCCGGAGCCCGGGCAGCAGGGGGCAGGATCACGCTGCACTCATGGCAGCAGTGGGAAGGGGAGCAGGCTGGGGCATCGCTCTGTGCCTCAGTTTCCTCACTTGTGAAAGGTGCGCAGAGTGCTGGCCTGCCTCGGATGGGAGGAGGGAGACATTCTTGACAGCCATAAGGCACTTCGGGGTTCACCGGGATGCAGTTTTCCAGACAGGAAAGCTACCGATCCTCGTTGCCCTTCTCTGCGGCGTCTTCTGAAGGAAACGGGCTTAATCCGTCTTCTTGCACAGGCCTTTTCCGGGTTTTACTACACCTTCCACTTCCTGAACCTGACCGGTGGGCAGCCCCTGAGCACCACCAATGCCACTGCCTGGGCGTTCTGCACGAAAAGCTGGACGGAGGTGAGACTTGCTGGTAGCAGCCAGGAGCTCCAGGCCTCGCTGCCTACTAAGCCCCAGAGCTGCAGGCCAAGCCAGGCGAAGCAGAGGAGCTGGGAAGGCCCATGAGCAGGTGGGAGTTGCACTCCAGCCCGACGGAAAGGCTTGGCCTAGCCGTGTCCAGGGAGCGACAGGTTAGGAAGTGCAGCGCTCTCAGATTTGAAGGGGTTCAACGGGACTCAGCTCCAGGGTACAGTCCTGACACCTGCTAAAAAGGCTTCCTGCCCTCGTCGCGGGGCCCACGTGGGCTGACGGCTGAGCTGGAGACGGACGCTTTGCCGGTTCCTAGAAACGGATCCTGCATGTTACTCTTTGGTCGCCCCTGGGGAAGCTGGGCTTTTTGCAGGGCCCTTGCTCATTGCTGCCCAATGGCTCTCTCAGCTGCAGGCCAGCTTCCCGCAGGAGAGACCCAGCCGCCTCCGTGATTACTGCTCCTCGGCCTCTTTCATCCTGACGCTGCTACACGAGGGCTATAAATTTGATGAGCAATCATGGAGCAACATCCATTTCCGCCAACAGGTAAGGAGCCATTGTTGGTCGAGTTGTGCAGCCACCGGGCAGCGGCTGGCTCTCTGGAGTGGCATGTCACTCGTCCCAGGGACACCATCTCCAGCCTGTGCCCACTGGTGTGCCTGGCTGAACCCTCCCTCCTGGCTGAGAAAGGAAGAGCAGGTCTTCAGGGAGTTCTGCTCCTCCCACTCCCGAGAAGCAGTCAGCTTCACTTTGCACTGGCAAACTCAAACCAGCTCACTGACCTCAGTGGAGTCCGAGGGAGTAAAAGAGCAGGCGCCTGCCCCCGAGCGGGCTGGGGTAGCCCAGAAGTCACAAGAAGATAGGAGGGGAAGGGCGGAGACAGGGAAGAGTGGAGAAGGAGACATGCTTTGTAAGGGGAAAATGAAACAAAATCATCCACCCGAGGGGTCACTGCAGGGGCACTGTCTGTTTCCGCATATGGCAGTGGCTGCCAGACCCCAGGGCCTGGCGTTGCTTGGACCCAAAGGCTCTGGGCCCCATGCTGAGGAGAGCTGGCCTGCAACAATCCCAGAATGGCGCGGCAGCTGGGACTCTGGGGGCGAGCTGTGGGAGGGCATTAGCAGCGAGTCGGCCCTGTGAGGGGCCGGGGTGCCAGGCTCCCAGTGTGCTGCTCCTGCTGGCAGACCCCAGTGACCTTGGGCAATGCCCTCCCTGTGCCACACACAGCTTCTGAGTCAGGCTCCAGCTAGCCAGGCTGCTTTGTGTTGGTCTCAGGGGCCAGGACCTGCAGAGAGTGGCCCAGGAATTCCTTCCCCCCAAGCAGGGGCTCAGGCTCCAGGCACTTTGCCAGCTCAGTAAAGTGCCCTCTTGCTCTTCCCCAGGCTGCGAACACGGACATCGGCTGGGCCTTGGGCTACATGCTGAACCTCACCAGCATGATCCCAGCCGAGGCCCCGGAACAAGTGAAAGGGCAGCAGTGCGGCCTGTGGGCTGCTGCCATCGTCTTCATCGTCCTGACCATGGCAGTGGCACTGGTGGCTGTGCTCGTCCAGTGCCTGTGGAACCCCGCCTAGCAGCTCACATGCTGGGCGGAGGGGACGTGGCACAGGCGATGGCGGCTGGAGGAGGATGTCAAGGCACTTGCTGTCTCTTCAGGGTACCTCGTAGTGTCTCTCAGCGAGGCTGATCTGACAGGCACGTATAAACACCTCCCGGGGGAGAAATGCTGGCCAGAGACGTCTCTCTAACCCAGCAGGCTGCGAGTCAGCGGCTGAAAGCTGAACTAGACACTTTGGGACTAGAAATAAGGAATGGTTTTAAAATAGGGAGGGTAACTAATCACTAGCTAAGTCCAGGTGTGGTTACACAGAGGTCTGGCCGGCTGACCACTCACTGCGAGATGGGCGACACAGAAGGAACAGGAGCCAGCCACACCAGCAGGTCCGGCTCCCGAGTGTGAGGGAGGCGAGTGCGCAGGCAGATTGGGAGGTGTTCTGCACCTTCCAGTCATGCCGCCTCTTGGCCCTTTTGTGCCTGAAATGAGGCTGCAGCTGTGGGCAGCACTCTGCTGAGAAGATGGCAGCCTCCTCGGAGTCCTGCCCCCCACCAGGCCTGTGTCCTGGGCTAGGGGAGAAGCCTGCTTGCTCTGTGTGTTAGGCTGTCGCTTCCCGGGCCTGCAGCAGAGCTGGAACGCTCGTCTCTCACACCCACCGAAGCCGGAGCAGGAAATGCTTGTCATGGAGCAGCCTGTCTCTCAGGGTCAAAGTCTGTTTTCTTAGAACTATTTATTGGCATTTCACAGACGAGAAAATAATGAGCAGTCTCCTGTCACTGGCCCTGCCTGGTTTCTAGATTTGATTGAAATAGCCCTTCCGTCCCCAACGCCTCAGCTCTGCGCACAGACACGCCTCTTCACAGGCACACTCCCTCCAGCAGCATCACAGGCTCCTGTCCAACACACCGACTCCAGGGGACCCGCCAGGAATTCTCAGCCAGCCCCCCCTCAGCCCGCAGGAGGGGCAGTTTTACAGCACCCCCAAAGGTGAACAGATTCAGGCTCTTGGGGGAGAAACAAGGGCTCCTTGCTGGCAGCTCCCTCCTCCAGTCTGCGGCTAGTGTGCCTGGGCCAGCCAAGGCCGCTGCAGCAGGACGTGGGCCAGACAACCCCACTCCATGCACCAGGTACAGGCAGCGACTGGCCTCGCAGCAGGGCGCCTGTCTGTGGCAGCGTAGAGACCGGGGCTGGAGGGAGGGAGTGTCCTGCTCAGCCTGTTCTGGGAGGCTGTTGGCGAAAAGCCTGCACCTTGCAGAGGCCTGTGTCAGTGAGTGGCGGGGCCAGGGGAGAGCCACAGAGCAGCGGCCCATCCTGGGAAAGGCTGCCTGGCGTACCTGGCGCGTACAACCGCCCTGACGTCTGGGACAAAAGGGTGCTTTGTGGTCCCCCAGGGCCCGAGCCAGGAAGGGATGAACAACTCCCCACAGGCTTGGGCCAGGCAGAAGAGAGGCCAAGGGAGCACCTGGAGGCCCATGTACTGCAAGGCTGAAGGACCAAGTGAGCCCCCAGCGTTGGTACCCAGCAACCCTCCCTCAGTTCCTGGGACCCTGTTTGCACAGCAGAGGCCTTGGGCAAACAGGCCTCTATGCCCTGCCCCAAGGTATTTTTATCCCTTCCCATGAGCCCTGCTCTCTCCCAGGCTCATGCCAGCTTCTGGCTCCCCTGGGCTTTGCTATGTCTGTTTCTCTGGCTGCTTTCCCCACAGGGCCTCAGCTCCCATCAGCCCTCCCTCCTCCAGCCTCCACCCCACTCCACAGACCTAACTGGGACAATCCCCGCCCCCGAGATGTCCGGGCATGGGCCCTTTGCCTTGGCAGATGGATGGGGCTTGGAGGACTACACACATTCTGGGCCTGATTCATGCGCTCTTGTTTACATCAGTGCGAAGGGCGGTGAAATGATCCCAAGCCAGACCAGTGCTGGTTTTACACTGAGCAGGGCCCAGAGACTCAGGCCTGCCTTCCTGTCACTGGCTCTCTAGGTGGCATATTGCCTCCTACAGTCCGGCCGCAGTGTGTCTATATGTGCTGTCATTAGCCCCCCATGGCAGACTGTGCCAGCCCTGTGGGGTCAGGAGCTATTTAACTGCCCCGAGCCCAGACAGCTACACTGCCCGCCAACAGCCCTGAGCCCGAGGCAGCTGGTACCAGCCCTGTAATTTCATGGCAACGTGGCATTTCCAGCGATGGCAGGGTCCAGCTCCCCCCACCGTGGCTTAAGGCCTGAGCCAGGCCCCTCCCACTAACAGATCCCTGGAGGAGCCTGTTCGTTTCATCACTTAGTCTGCGCCTTTGAGCCCCAAGTTCCTGCCACACAAAGCCGGGGGCTGGGCCCGAGATGGGAAACTCCACTCGCTGTGCCAGCCCCTCTCAGGGTCCTTCGCGATACCCTCCCCCCTTTGCACCCAGATCCCGCCTCAGCCCCAGTCCCAGGCCAGACCTGCTCTCTCACTTTCAATCCTGGGCCAGAAGCAGGCCATAGAAAATGTTACAGAAACAAACCAGCCAGTTGTCTGGCTGCTGGAGTCCCAGCTGGGAAGGGGCCTGCGTAGGCAGCTGCTCAGATCCAAAGAAATTGGCACAAGCGCATCCTGCTGTCGGTGGGAGACAGGAGGTGAGGTCCAGAGCCCAGCTGGCGTCTTGTGGTGCCTGGCAGGAAGCAGCATCTCGTCTCTATGGGAGGGCAGCCCCACAGCTGGTCTGCGCAGCAAAGCATTTGGGGAAAATGCCAAAGTGGCCATTGCAGTGGCCTTCCAGCCATTCCTCGTTCACTGGGGAAACACAAAGGGACAGGATAGGACCCAGTGCTCCCTTGAAGAGACGGGCCCTGCTAAGGGTGGCATGCTCCCCTAGGCCAAGGCCAGTACAGGCTGTGCACACATCAGACAGTTCCCTGTAAGGCCCAGTGGCCCAAGGGTCACGAAGCCTTTTGCTGCCCAGCTTGTCCCCATCTCCTCCCTGCAAACAGACCCTGAAGCTGCCTGGTGGAACTAGAAAGCTACCTTCCGAGAGAACGTCCAGCGTGTCCCCTTCACTGAATTCCAGATCCTCCGGCCTTTGTGCTGTGTAGCTGTGATGTGCGACCATTCTGTAGAGAACCGGTCTGTCTGAACAGGCATCTGTGCCCTACAAGGCAAGGCTGGGGGTAAACTGCAGGGCAGAGCACAGATTAGCCCAGACTCCAGTGAGGCAGAACAGCGTCCCGATGGGGCCGTACCTGGCACCACAGCGTCAGCGGCCCATCTGTCACCTGCTGCCACATCTTCCCCAGCTCCTCGTCTCCCGAAATCACAACTGACTCTTGGCCATCTGCAAGCCTGCAGCTGCAGTCAAAGTGGAGGTCAGAGAGAATGGACTAGGGCGAATCTAAGCTTGGGCAACAGGCAACGTCTCCCGATTCCCTAAGCGCGGCAATGCCAGGGTTCCCCGGTAGGTCTGCGCTGCAGTGGGAGGAGGGATTCTCTGCTAAAGTGCAGAGAGGTGCTGGCTGCACTCAAGCGAGCGTGCTACCAGGAGGAGTGTAGCTGTGATGCCCCAGGTGGGGAGGAGAGAGCTGCCCTGAATACATACCTGGCTTTCCAGACGGGACTGGACTCAGTGTTCAGGTGAGCCCATTCTGCCGCATGGCTGTGCTGCTGTTCCTAGCACACGGACTCAGCTAGAGCTTGCAGGTATGAAATTACCCCTCCCGCTCCACAGACAAAACCTCCCTGCTTCAGACTTACACTAGACCTTGGCACTGAGCACACAACAGGCGGCTGAGCTGACTGGGAAAATCACATCTATGTCAGAGATGTCTCCAGCATCATTTCCCCTCCTTTCCCTGCTGCTCCATTCACCTTTGTGGCTGTGAAATCTCCTCTCTCCCGCATTCCCCGCCCGTCCCCAAGGAGCTGAAGCGAGGAGGCGGAATCTCCAGGGGACAGGGCTGGTGTGACTATTCTGTGGGGGAAAGGGCTCCCCATGGTGCTCTCTATGGACTCACCTTGAAAGCTGCCTGAGCCCTACCGAAGGACACATGGACAGCAGACACAGTCTTAGTGCCTAGCCCCTTGGGGACCTGCACTGGCAAGGGGAAAGCTGCAGCTCACCGGGAAAGAGAAACTCCGACAGCCTTTGGCACTGGCCACTGTGCAACCCCTCTGCCAGTCTGCGACTGACCCACCTCAGCTTCCCATGCTCCGCCTGCTGGCCGAGCGTCTCCCTCAGCAGAGACCTGAGGTCTGACAGGGCCAGCGCCTCGTTCACTTGCACTGTGCAGGGACAGTGGAC